AGATCTATTATTTAATTAATAGACAATTAAATAAATAATAGAGTCCGTAGATTCGAATATTTGTAATTTGTTAATCACAAGGAGTTGTGATTGTGAGATACAAATTACATATAATTGGATCTTGAATAAACCATGGTCGTAAGTAATAACGAGATACGGATATCGTTATTACGGATAGACCATCACGTGTGGCATTTCTTACTTGTGAAGTAAGTAGCTGATCTCACAAGCTAAAATGTGGTGACACTTAAGTGAACACGTGGATGTTTGTTATAGAACAAAACATTGGAGACCCGTCGAGAGATTCCACATGGATAACTATCTGAGTGTCAGTGGTTAATCTCTAACGTTCGGTAGTGAAATTGGTCCTTTGACTTGAGGTCGTCATGGTACCTTATATGAGGACAGTCATACTTTGGCGGTGTTGGATGTTGCTCTGAAAAGGGCCGCTAATACGACATCGTTAGGGTACGTCAAGAATCGTATGAAGGTTGTGATTGATCAATAAAGGATTCGTCACTCTTAGATAGTAGGAGATTATAATCTGCGTTTCATTCAATTAAGTCAATGATGAAATCCTTGGCCAAGGTGTACTCATAAGTCGAAAAGGAGTTTTCGATTTATATTGACTTAATAGTGGAGTGAAAGATATGATCGATGATCGAGATTGACACAACTCCATATCTCGTAATTGATCGGATCATATTGACGAAGGGATTATAGTTTCACGGTAAACGAACGAATTTGGTTTTGTCATACCACGTGACATTTCCCGTCACATGTATTGCCCTGACACATTGCTAGATGTCAATCAGGGACGGCGAATGTGAATTGACGATAAATTAAAAGAGTGTTTTAATTTATCAATTTTGATTAGATCAAAATAATATTTCACGTCGTTAGGCATCGTGGTCGGGAACCTAATGGGTCACACACAAAAGAGAATTGGAAGATTGCAAATTGCCAATTGGTTAATTTAACAATCGTTGGATAAATTAATTAATTGGATTTGTTATTTATATTTTCGAATTAATTAATTGGATTAATTAATTCACGGGCCGAGTTTGATTAATTGGATTAATTAATTATTGGACCGGACCGGGCCGAGCCTGTTTGGGTTTATATAAATACATAACTAGGGTTTGAGGTCCATTAAGGTTTTCATTATTCTTGCTAGCACAAGAGAAAACCCTAGAGGCTGCAATCAAATTCTCTGTGTGGATCACCGTTGGAGGCTGGACAATTGGACAGCTGTGGTGGCGAATCAAAGTTGTGGAACGAAAAGAAAAGCAAAAGGATTGCAGATCTGGAAAAGGTACAATCCTATCACAATTCCTAACCAAACACAATGAGATCTATTGGATGGGAATCGAAATATATTTTAAATTCCGCTGTGCATGTATAAGTAGATTCCCAACATCTCTTCCATACTTAGTGTCATTTTCTCATACATCGAGAGTAATGCACGTTTTAATTTTGGGATGGGATATTATCATCGATTATGTATGTTTTTACTGTTTTTTTGTGTGCTATATAGTAAAAAAATAAAAATAAATAAAGAAACGAAAAGAAAAGAAAAGAAGAAGAAGTTATATTCAACTTTCTTACTGCTTTTTTTGTGCTTGTGTGATTAGATGCTGTTGCCGACAGTGATGCTCATTCATGTGGAACTTGATCAAAACTTATGCACGGCTTCATTTATTATTATTATTATTATTATTATTATTATTATTATTATTATTATTATTATTATTATTATTATTTGCATCATGAACGAGTGTATTGGTTCATATGATGAAATATGTTGAATATAGTGGAATTTAGTTGCTAAAACCGAGAAAAGTTACTATTATATTATCCTAAAATTACTTTTAGGATTGCTTGAAGATGGTTAAACTAGTGTAGGGAAACATGTGATGAATAGGGTTTTCATGCTATTTTGTTCTGTGGATTGTTAAAGGTCAATAGGATGGATGTTAGGTGAAAATCTTGAGCGAGTGTTCGATTTTTAAGAATCAGTATTCGATAAGGGGTATGACACTAATCGTAATATGCAAAAGGAAAAAGCTGTCATTTTACGAAATACCCTTTAAAAGATCCCAGTGAGGACACATTGAAAATCCCAAAACGAAAACTTAAAAAGGGATCAAGCTAGTCCATCAAATAGAATACACAAAGCATAATTGAGGAAAAAAACAAATGCACGAAACAAAAGACGCACTAAATACTTTGACTAAACCCCAAATACTTGTTTGAAAGCACTAAACCTTTAATTAGAAATAATTAATCTGGTTGAATCTTAGGAGTCAAAGCGGTAAAACTATAGGAAGATTCTTATTTATTGAAGTGTTAACTTGATTCTAGTGAAGTCCACTCAAACTAGAGCAATGAAGATTAAGATCATCTAAAAATTCAGCCTTGGATCAAATCTTTGAAAAATGAGTGAAAAGAATAAGTTTGGAGGTGAGATATGTGTATCTCACAAGGGAAGAGAGGAGATTTTTTACCGTTGAGGGCTGAGAATTTATGATATTTTACATGAATTTCCACACACACACATAAAGTTCTGCATGGGATAAGTAGAGGTTAATTCCAACTATATGATTTTGAAGCTACTCATATTATTGACATGAAAATTTTAATCCTCAGACCAACAACAGGCTATCTAGCCAATTTTTGTTTTACACTATAGTTTGTGTGATGACAACAAATATTTAAGTTCGGGGTGTTGATAAGCACATTTCATATACGTATTTAGGCTTTTAAATTAGAATATTTGTTGGATATTTTAATAAATTATGGCTTAATTCTATATATATTGTGTTTGCTAGGTAAAGATCAATGAAATTGGCAAAATTGAAGAAAATGAACGAGGAAAAAGGCGAAATTGCATGAAATTCAAAGTTTGAGGATCAAAGTGCAAATATTCAATAATTGATTCATATACAAAATGATGATTAAAGATCACATATGATCAATTGGATACATTTAAATCAATTGGATACAATTAAAAGTGAGACAGATGAAATATAGTCAAAATATTTTCACAAATCAATTTCCAACTGAACAAGTTATGACCCAAACTTTTCAACTTCAGATTGAATCCTATTTTTCACATGCTAACCGTTCAAATTGGAAAATATATATTTCTAGAAGAATTGTATCCCTTTAAGTCAGTTTTCAACATACTTTAAATTAACCCAATTGAATAGAGAGAGAGAGAGAGAGAGAGAGAGTAAACATATTGACGACCTCTGAAGGAAATGTACAAATTACTTGTGTGCGCAAGGTCCTTCTTGAGGCTGATTGAGCCTAAAGTGACTTGCCCATGCATGTGCAAGCCAGATGCCCATGGCCACGCTTGGGTGTCTCGAGAAGGACAAATCTGATCTTATTTTGATCCAATTATGTATGGAATGATTTCTTAGCACCTTTTTAACCTAAGAGAGGCCCGTCCACAATAGTTTACCAAGCTTTTTATCAGACAAGAGACGTCTAGCAAGAGGCAAGAAGTTATTTTACAACAAGAATTGAAGTTGCAAAGCTTGAATTCAAGTTTAAGGCCTAGAAGTTGAAGTTTCAAGTTCTTCCTTGTATTCTTTCATTTGGACGATATCTTTTCAATAACTTTTTGTATAATTTGAATACAAACATGCTAGGCTAAACTTCATATTTTATGAATGATGATGAGACCATTTGGTATCTATTTCTAATTCAGTGAATAATTATTTTAGTGAATTCTCGTGTTCTCGATTGGTTGCGCACGATTATTATATTATTTAAATATTTGTGTACTATTTAGATAATTTGTTACTTATTATAATATTGGGAGGCTCACAATAAATTTAGATCATTGTATAAATGACACATGGGCAATAAGTGTTAACAATTACGTTTATGACGTGTGCAATCTTATACGATAATCCTAAAATTAAATGCATTCTTTCGCATATGAATTCGAACTAGAAATAAGATCGAGTCGTATAATGTGTAAATTTGGAAAGTGTTCATAAACGATTTAATTATAAATAGATAAAAATAAGTGAAGATTAGGAGTGTATTACTTATAGATACGACAAAAATGTGGATAAAAAATGATTTGATCAATTTTAAATATTTTACAAACCTAAGCCAAACATGCCGTTGGCCTCGTCCCAATCCTTAAAATTGGTGAAAACAAAACCATGTCCGGCGTGTCCACTATCCTTACGTGGCATTATGTTCTGCCACCTTTTACACTACGTGTAAGAACCCTAATTACATGCAAAAAAGTGCTGCTGCCCCACCGTCTTTCGTTTTCCTTATTTTAAGAACCCCAGATAGCAATCTTCACTTGTATATTCATCTATTCAAACTCTGTTTAATTTGTCCTTAAAAATGGCAGATATACGTGATGAACATGGTAATCCAATTCAGCTTGCAGATCAATATGGGAAACCTGTTAAACTAACTGATGAGTATGGCAATCCTATTCATCTTACTGGTGTCGTCACCACTTCCGGCGGTGGAACTGGGGCTGTGCATGCTGGTTCTGCCACCGGTATTCTCCATGGTGGTACTGGGGTAGGCGGGATTGGCACCTGTGGCCAAAAATATGATGAGCAGCAGCACCACCAGCAGCAGCAGCAGGAGCAAGGGCAGCTTCATCGCTTGAGCAGTTCTAGCTCTAGCTCGGTGAGTTTAATTTGGATATTTAAGATTCTTGAAATTTAATCATTTTTCATCTAGTGTACCAAACTTGTTATCTTTGTGTGGAATTCGATTAAAACAATTGAAATCTTAGAAGGGTTATTACACTCAGTATTCTTCATGTATCTGAAGTCAATAATGTGTAAATTTTTCCTTTTAATGTTTGATTATCTGTTTGTATAAATTGAAGTCGGAGGACGACGGTCAAGGTGGGAGGAGGAAGAAGGGATTGAAAGAGAAAATAAAGGAGAAATTGACAGTTGGGAAGCACGACGACAACGATGAAGCCGCACACAGCGCCACCACAACGGCCACCAACACGGCCGGCAGTGCAACGTCTACTACTGCTGCGCCGCAGCACGAGAAGGGTGTGATGGAGAAGATCAAGGAGAAACTGCCTGGCCATCACCATAGTCACTAGAAAAAATATAATTTAATGTAATTATTAATGTTTATGCTTTGTTTGGTGTGTAGGTAGCTTGTTTTATTAGTTACTGGATATGTTTCTGATTTGGATAGTTGCATAATAAGATTGGTATTCGTAGTTGGATGTTATGCTACACATAAATGAATTTATTTTCTATGTTTTTTGGTAAGTGTGTTATCACAACCTTGTTGGAGGCTAAACGAAGTTTGGAATGTTATATACACCTTCGATGACCGAAGAACCCAAAGGGATGCTGGTATAATATGTTGGGACAAATGGTTTGTTGGGGTTGTTTTTGTTGAATATTTATGATATTTAAAGTTCATAAACTTTACATAATTGTCATGTCAAATCATCAAGAAAAATAATTAATGAATTTTGAAGTTGTGAATTACAATTCTTGAATCTTTACTTCTAGATCTTTAATTTTGACTCTTAATTATGGATTTTTGAATTATTCTTTTTGATTCTTGAATTTTTTTATACGATCTTTCTCTTTAATGTGCTTTCTCTATTAATTCTTGTGTTGATGGGATGAACAAAGAAAGAAAAAATTGTATATGAATTGAGGACCATAATCTTATATATAGCTTTCATATATATTTCGTCCATCATGAAATATAATTATAAAGGAATATGGTCTTTACACTTATATTTCGATCTACTTTATTTAGATGTCCAAAGTTTTATTTCTTAATTGTTTATTAGACCACTTTAATTTTAGGTTTAATTTTAAGATGGCATTTATCATGTGAACCTACATATGTAATTAGTTTAGTTTTTCCAATAATCTTCCACTTGGACCACATATATTACTTTATAAATGTGTAGAATTTTATTAGCTCAAAACTTTTTCTATCATAACAAAAAGGCATTTTCAAACAATCTCATTCATCAATTATTTCAATATAGAGTCAAAGCGATATTCGTTACAAATATCATAATTAAAGTCGTCAATGATCATGTATATTAACACAATTAGATGATATAAATCAAGTATGAATGTGTAGCATGAAAATTAAATGTATGCAATCTAAACATGTCTATTTCCAACTAGTTTTACTGTATTTTTTAATACCTTGTACTTTAATGAAAATTGAATTGAACACTTTATTATTGAAATAAACTTGAATGAGCACAAACAAAATCATGTGCCACAGAGACAACATCCAAAATTACAAACTCTTACTAGACTAAAACATCATCAAAATATAAAATGCCTATGTAAGCATTATGCTCATGAAAGACCTTGAGTAGTAGCCTTTTAGTAAATGAATTTGCTTTCGCACAATTTGTTCTAATATGTTCTATAGCAACCTGATCACTCTTTAAACTCTTTATTTAACAATTAGAAATTTCTTATCAATAAACTTAGACTTTGATGAAGTTTTATTGTTGTTCGAATACAAAATTGCTGACTTATTGTCATAAAATAATTTAAAAGATCTTTCAATTCCATCCAAAATTCGTGGTCCAATGAGAATTTCGCAACCATATTCCTTGACTGGATGCCTCATAACATACTATAAACTCCATAATCATGGTTGAAGAATGTGTGAGTGTCTGCTTGGCACTCTTCCAAGATATAGTTTCTCCAACCAGCAGGAAGACATAGCTTGATGTGAATTGCCCACTGTCTTGACATCCAGCAAAATCAGAATCAAAATAACCAATGTTATCCAATTGATTTGATTTCTTGTTAACGGAATTTTCTGCATTTCATTTTACTCAAAGACTAAATTTGTCTTCTTTAGCAATAGGGATATCTTCTGGTTTGTAATTCTGTATTCCATATATCTTAAATATCTTATATAACTCTTTTGTGATAATCCAAGAATACCCCGAAAATGATCCTAGTGTATCTATACTCCTAATATAAAAGAGGATCACCAAGATCGATCATTTCAAAATTCTTTGATACAAATTTCTTAATTTTATGCAATAAGCGAGGCAAGTAGTATGTCATCGACATATAATGCTAGGAAAATATATTTATTTCCACTGAACTTATGATATACACTATCATCAACTATATTTATTTAAAAATCAAACAAGATGATTATTTGATAAATTTGTGATACCATTGATGAGAAGTCTGCAATAGATGGATTTCTTTAATTTGCGAATCATTTTCTTTCGGTTTCTTGACATAAAGTTTTCCTTTTGCATCATATATATGGTCTCATCAATATCACCATTGAAAAATCTCGTTTTTACATCTATCTAATGTAGCTCAAGATCAAAATGTGCTACAAGTGTCATTATAATTCTGAAGTAGTCTTTCGTTGAAATTAGAGAGAAAGTCTCTTTGTAATTGATACATTTTTGTTGAAAGCTCTTTGCAACAAGACGAGCCTTATATCTTTTCAGATTATCTCTTGGTTTTAAATATCCATTTGAAACCAATGTGTTCCGTACCTTCAGGCAATGTGACAAGTTCCAAACATCATTGTCTTTCATGGACTTATTTCTTCATTCATGGCAGCAATCCACTTTTAAGAATTATCACTTTGCATTGCTTGATGAAAGTTGATTGGATCTTCTTCCATCAATGGAATGCCATCCTCATATTCTTGTAGAAATACTATAAAGTCATCTGAAATTGCATTTCTTCTTTCTCTATTGGATATTCTTAATGGCATTTGTTCTTGAGGTTGTTAAATTTGTTCTTTTGGAGCAATTTCTCGATTATTTATAGGGGGTTCTGGAACATTATCTAGATCGGATATTGGTTCTTGAACAAAATCTAGAACAAAAATTTGTCCCTGATTGTCATCATTGTCAATTGCAACAAAATGACTATTTATATATTCCTCATCAAAGACAAAATTCATAACCTTATCTTCCCCATAAACTCTACATTCTCAACGAATGTAGCACTCGTTTCAAAAGTTGACTTTATAGTGTGATCATAAAATTTGTGACCCTTCGAGCTCTCAAAGTATCCAATAAAATAATGATCGATAGTTTTGGAATCCAATTTCTTTTCACTCGGCCTGTAAGGCCTTGCCTCAGCTAAACAGTCCCAAATGTGCAAATGCTTCAAACTAGACTTTACTTGGAACACTATTGAGAATATAAGCTGTAGTTTTTAATGTTTTTCTCCAGAGAGTTTTGATATGGTGAATGACTAATCGTAATACTGACATGTTCTTAAGTGTTCTATTTCATTTTTCAACAACATCGTTCATGCTAGGAAAACTTGGCATCGTGTACTGTTGGACGATTCTATATTTCTCTAGGAATTTAGTAAAAGGACCTAAATGTTCTCCTGATCCATCATATCTACCATAGTATTCACCACCCAGGATCAGATTAAGGCATTTTATTCTTTTGTCTAGTTGGTTTCAACTTCAACTTTATAAGACTTGAACATGTCCAGTGATTGGAATTTCTCATGAATAAGATATAGGTAGCTATAGCGAGAATAACTGTCGATGAATGTAATAATTGAGTATTGACCATTCCAAGAAGACGAAATGAATGGCCTATAGATATCCACATGAATTAGTTCTAAGATGTCTAAAGTCCTATTGGCATCTAATTTCCTTATATTTGTATGTTTCGCCTTGATACAATTTACGAAAATACGTAATCCTGAAAAATCAAGGGGATTAAGAATTTCTTCTGATACAAGGCTTTTTATTCTCTTTCAAGAAATGTGACTTAAACGCTCGTGTCATAATGTAGCAAAATTCTCATTGGTTAATTTACGTTTAATACAACATGAATTCACATGTAAAGTTTTAATATAATAGGCAACCAAATTAAGGAAGTATATATTATCATATCTAGATAAAGAATTGATACACACAAGATTTGAATCAAGGAAAAAATTGAATTTATTATTTTCAAATGAATAAGAAGAATCGAATTTATCCTATATAGAAATAGAAACCAACTTTTGTCTAAAAGACGGTACCACAAAAGTCTCTTTCAAATCCAAATAAAAATCAGTGGCATGAAAGGTTTAACAATGCCATGATGGAACCTGAGTGTTTTTCATCACCAAGGCAGGACAAGAAAGTCTATAAAATAGTGAAGTCGCTGTATGACTTTAAACATGCATCCAAACAGTGGCATGTAAGGTTTAACAATGTCATGATGGAATGTAAATTTAAAATCAACGAGTGTGACAAATGAGTTTATGTAGATGACATGCTTATTGTTGGTAGCAACAATAAGATGATTAAATCCACTAAAAAATGTTAAACTTGAGATTTGATATGAAAGATATGGGTTTAGCTGATGTTATATTTAGAATTAAACATCTCAAGAACATCAGATGGATTCCTTCTAAGTCAGTGACATTAAATGGACAAAATTCTGAAAAAATTTAACAGCATCTATCTAAAAATAAAGTCGGAAGTGTCTCTCAAGTAGAGTGCTTTAAAATTATTGAAAGTTTGATGTATTTGATCAATTGTACAAGACCAGAAATAGCCTATACAATTAGTAAACTGAGTAGATACACGAGTAATCTAGGAGCTGACCATTAGAAATGAATAGTAAAAGTACTAAAGTACTTACTCGTAGATGCAGACTGCACTTACCAGACATCCAACAGTTATTGAAGGGTATAGTGATTGCAATTAGATATCCAATATAAAAAACTCAAAGTCCACTAGTGAATTTGTGTTCGCATTAGGAGGTGTATCTAAATCCTGGAAATCTTCTAAAAAACAGGTGTAGCTAGATCTACTATGAAATTTGAGTTTATAGCTATAGATAAATGTGGTGAAGAGGTAGAGTGATTACACAACTTGTTAGAAAATATTCCGAGATGGTCAAAGCCTGAGTCATTTTTTGTTGAACCAATACCACTACTCTTCGTCCCAATTTTCAAATTATCATGATTCAATCTTTGTGAGGGGATTCCTATGTTGAACGAGACGGATTGTTTGGATTTCAAAGGTATAGGAAGAAACTCTCTCAAATGGAGATTTTTTTCGACCATATTTCAATCAAAAATTTTCATACATTGTGATAGTATATGAAGGGCACAGAGTAACATGTATAGTAGTAAGTCTAGACATTTACGTCGTAGACATTATACCATAAGGCAGCTACTCTCAATTGGACATTTCTATTGACTATGAAAGTCAAAGGATAACATTATGAATCCGCTAACTAAAGGGTTAAATAGAGAGTTAGTTGCGAAATCATCGAAAGGAATAAGACTT